ACTGGTATTAATTCAAGCTCTTCAGCTTGGCTTTTTCTTTTTATTGGATCCCCTCTAATATATCTGTCTGGATGTGGCCTGTGAATTCCACTCAACAAGATCAAAAAGCAGTTCTTAGGGTCAAGCGGAGAGGAATTCCCCTGCCTGAGCCCTTCATTTCTCCTAGAGCTTTCATGCATGTCGAAGTCTCTTTTTATCCCATACTTTGGGAAAATGCAACTGGCCATATGTCAGTACCAATGTTCCAAGGTTCCCAGCTGAGCATATGAAAAGATGATACAAAGCATTTGGCACAGGCTTTTGCTACCTGACATCTTCCTAACCTTCTCAGGAAGATCTTTCAGGCAATTACCTCAATTCATATCTGGATTTCTTGATGCTAGCTATTTTAGGTTCTGCCTGGAGGATAATTGCAAAGCTAAGGATCACATAGCAAAGGCCATTGATAAGCTTGCAGTTATGGATAGGAGGGTAGTAAGTACTTTAGAGAATGTGTATGTGAGGTGGGACAGGGGGTCTCTCTGTATGGGAGAGAAGGCTGTTGAATGATCTCCATTAGCTGTTGCACAACTGGGCTATTCTCACCTGCTAAATAACAAAATGTATCAAACACAAATGCAGTTATAATGGATTCCTGTGATCACCATATTTTCTGAAATAACATCACTGCACAGTAATTCCAACTTTGATTTGTTTTATTTGATTCTGCTGCAGGCGGTTTTTTTGGTTTGTTTTGGTTTTGGTTGGTTGGGTTTTGTGTGGTTTGGGGGTTTTGTTTGTTTGTTTGTTTTGTTGTTGTTTTGTTGTTTGGTTGGTTTTTTTAAGGTGGAAACTGCAGCTGAAGGGACCAATGAAGAAACTAACTTTAAATAGTAAATTACATCTGCACATTGTTTTTTAAATAAGCTACTGCTATTTTAAATCAGGCTACTTTTCCTTTGGTGGTCTTCGCTTTTTAAGTGCTATGCTCCAGAGCTTTCTATAAGCAAAGTGTTTTAAAATGAGCCTTAAATAATTTAAACATCTCTTTTCTGAAATACATCCCTTTCCTAGAATACTTTTTGTCAATTTTATGTCTTCTTGGGAAGAAAATAAAACAGAAAAAGTATTTTATTATTCTATCCACAGTTTTACAAGAGCAGGAGAAAATGTGCAACAGTAATAGTCTCCATTCCACAGCCAGCACACACTAAGAAAAAGCAGTAATAACGTGATTTGTCCTCTTCACATCCCTCCCAACTCACATGAAGTTAAAATGAAAAACAGGGGACATTCCCTATTCCAAACTGATGTGAAGGATATTACATTTGTTGTCGGTTTGAAGCCTGCTTGTCTTCAGCTAGTACTTCTCCCTCCAGGAGAAAAGGGACCTGAAGCCTTGCTGTCAGCACCCTGACACTGGAGAAAGGAAAGTGAACGCTGCCCAATTCCTCCTCATTAAAACTTTATGGCTTTAGTGTAGACCTGGGCACCTCTTTGTCATGCCAGCAGTATGTCCTTTCCCTGAATGAAGGACACTTTAGTCCAATTCTCCAGCAGTTATCCCCCAAACGAAGGGGCCAAAGCATCAACAGCACAACACAGGTCTGAAAAGGGGCGGTACTGGCCCATGGGGAATGGACTGAACACAGTGTTACTGCTCTCCCTGAAGGAAATTAGCTGATGCGAAGAAGACATAATGCAGTGCAATGACACCGTAGTCTTCATGACGCACCTTCTTTTGATAAGGCCCCACAATTCCTGTAAATCAAATTGGGAGTGTACTTACACTACAACCCCTACAGATTTCCCCAAGTGTACTAGTCAGAGAAATTAGGTGATGTAAACCTTTATTTCTCCTCATCCTATGAAGCTCCTTATTACACAGAGGAGGAGAATGAGATGGAACGAGTGTGACCATGTTAACATGCAAATTAGTTTTCTAACAAATGGTACTACTACTATTTCTTTGTTCTGTTAATATGTGGGGACCAGAAGAGGCAGATGTAATAAACAAAACTCAGCCCAATGTAAACAGCTGGAAATGGATTTCCACAAAGCAGATCATGCTGTAACTGAAGCAGGTTCATGACATCAGGTTGTACATCCCCAGCACTCTGGAGGATGGCTGGATGGTGACCAACCCCTTCCAGTCTCCGGCTCTGCACAGGTGCAGTAGTCATAGCCAGTCACTGACTTAACCAGATATAGAACTGTACCCAAAATTGTAAGATGATTTTTTCCTGGGTCAGCGAAATGATTTTGTGCCTTGGTGATCTCTGCAATGACCTGAATCGCTTTTAGTCCATAATGACACATCAAGGGCATGCCATGACAGCAAGCAATGCCACGCAGCTGTTAATGCTACAATAAAGACAAGGCAAATATAAGCACTAGGTATTCCGTGTGAGATGCTATTTCTTCAGATATAAGGGTATAATAACATTCTATAACGATAGAGTTGTTTGATTTAGATTGGAAGCAGTGTCATTTCTAGACACTAGAACTTAAAGCCAAAAGAGTGCAACTGACAAAGGAACACCCTAGAAAGACAGAAGGGGTAATGCCTGTCTCTGTGTTTGAGACTGAGCGCACACACTGTCCTCTGAGACAGTAACTTGCCTCAGAGAAGGCAAAAGAACTGGCTGGATGGCCGCATGCAGAGAGTTGTGGTCAATGGCTCAATGTCCAAGTGGAGACCAGTAACGAGTGGTGTCCCTCAGGGGTTGGTGTTGGGACTGATGCTGTTCAACATCTTTATCAGCAACATGGACAGTGGGATTGAGTGTACCCTCAGCAAGTTTGCCGATGACACCAAGCTGTGTGGCTCGGCTGATACGCTGGAGGGAAGGGATGCCATCCAGAGGGACCTGGACACGCTTGAGAGGTGGGCTGATGCCTGTTCAGCCTGAAGAAGAGAAGGCTGCATGGAGATCTCATAGCAGCCTTCCAGTATCTGAAGGGGGCCTACAAGGATGCCAGAGAGAGACTCTTCATCAGGGGCTGTAGCGATAGGACAAGGGGTAATGGCTTTAAACTTAAACAGGGGAAGTTCAGCTTAGATCTAAGGAAGAAGTTCTTTACAGTGAGGGTGATGAGGCACTGGAATGGGTTGCCCAAAGAACTGGTAAATGCTCCATCCCTGTCCGAGTTCAAGGCCAGGTTGGACAGAGTCTTGCACGACATGGTCTAGTGTGGGGCGTCTCTGCCCATGGCAGGGGCGTTGGAACCAGATGATCTTAAGGTCCTTTCTAATCTAAACCATTCTGTGATTCTGTGATTCTGACATTGTGTCCGACCTCAGCAATGGGGGGCTGTGGCTGCACAGTTTCATTGCCATGACAAGGTATAGGACTGTACAAGTGCCATCTGAACACTTCCTAATGATCACATCAAAGTAGGACAATGCTTCCTGGGAAATTAGGAGACAGGTCCAATATTTGAATAAGTGGCAAGAATTCTCTGGGACACAACCGCTGAATTTTCAGGAGCAGGAAAACTAAATAGGAATCTGATCCACTCCTCTTTTAAGCAGCTCCCATGGGAAGGCTCTCTGGGATTATGCTAATCAGAGACAAAGTCATACCAGGTGTCATCCAGAGCAGGGTGAATCCAAGTAGAAGCAGGCCACTTCAGCATCATGCAGGGTCTATATAGCACAACATGCGATTACAATCCAGGATGTTTATTCATGCTCACATTGCACAACTCAGTTGTTTATACCAATCTTATTCCTTCCTTTCAAATGCAATGAGGTTCTGAAGCCCATATTTGGTTTAAAGTTCTCTTCAATAACAATTAAAAAGAAACCAGTTTACAGCTTTAATCCAAAGCCTAATATTCTGATGCATTTGCTAACAGAAAATTAAGTAGAGCTCTATTGATGCCAGTGGTGTTATGCTGCCCCTCAATGAACATAAGCAGAAAGGCAAACAGGCCCATGATATTTTGTAGCAGTAAGAGGGTCATACACCATCATACTTACTGTATTATGTAGCACACTACATCTAGTGTCTATTAAAACATAAATTAATTATTTCCTGGTGCTTTTGGAAATTAAAGCTCAATTAAAAGGTTGGGTTTAGATCGATTTTTAGGTATTCTATCACAAAAGATAGAACAGCAAACCACACACATCTAATATGTAAACTGGTGTATTCAAATGACCCCACAATCCAGTCTTGTACTTCTATTTATCCTTTTTTTGTCTAATATTTTAATTTGAAATCTGTGAACCAAAATAGAAACAAAACCAACTTTGTTCTATGTTTGTCTAGTGCTTATACAAGAAGGTCATGAGAAAGACTCCTAGGCACTCATAGACAGTAATAAACTATTAGTAACACTACTGCAACTGCAGTACTGCGAAAGCCTATAAATGTCCTTTCAAAGCAGAGATGGCAATAGGTATGGTGAAGGAAGAGGACTGGATTTTGAAGACACACTGGAAATACCAGTCACTCTGGTTAAATGAACCACCCGCCTCTCCAAGGCAGGCAGATGGTGAATTTTGGGTTGTTTGTCACTCAGTGACCCCTTCCCGCCATGTCTAATCAAAGCCTGTCACTTCCTCTTGCTGTCTCTGCTCCAGCAAAATGTTCTCTTTGTACTGTTGCAATCCACTTCCCTCTAAAGATCCCATCGGGACTTCTGGTGCTCATCACCATCTGGTGGTTCCAAATGCTTACCATGCCACGAAGTCTTTGTGCAAAAGGGAACAAATGCTGGTGGTAGCTGAAGAGTCTTCCCTTTCCTAAGTACGTATGCATTTATCACACTTGTCATTACATCATTTTACATCATTTCTACATTTGGAACTCCCTAAGATATGAATAAGCAGCTCACACCATGTCTGGGTATTGGCATGATGGGCTTTCCTGACTATTTCCTGATGATTTCCAAGGGTGGGAGAACTATCAAAAAACCTAACATACTGCAAGACATAAACAAAAAGAAAATGCTTTCCTGCTATACATGACATAAGCAATCAATAGAAGATGACAGAAAACTGCTGTACTTACTATGTGTCGTGCTGCAAATACTCCATCAACTATTGCACAACAGAATGCTGCCACCACACCAAAGCTGATAAACACGATGGAGGCTACTAACTGAGAAGAGAAAAACAGATTGAGCAATATTTTCAATATATTTCTTTAAGTAAAACAATAATACTAATTTGTCTAGTATTCTTAAGCAACTGTTCCCCCTGCTGTAATTCACTTTAGATCAGTGTGGCAGGATGCCAGTCATGCACTAGAAAAAAGGCAGAAATTCTTGATGCTGAGTTGACATACCATTAAGTGTACTAGAAAAGCTTAAATCTTTCTAGAAAAGAACATGTCAGTGGTAAGTTACTAAATTCAATGGTGATTTCTTTTAAATCAACTTATTTAATAAACAGCAAACAGCAGTGGTGTCCACAGGGTGAAAAGCCATATTCCTTTTGGCTCACATCAATCTCTAGAGCCTTACGACAGTGGTACTACTTCATACACACAGATGAAGTAAGTTAATAACTAGCCTATCAACTCTTGCAAAGCTTTTATCTTCCCAAATAGCTTATGATAACTTTTGCCACAACAAAATCAGCTCCCAGATGCCTCCTCAGTCTCAGAGTGGGCATGGCAGAGCACAGTAGAACTCAGTACATGTCCCAGCTGCAGCACAGACAGCACACTGTCTGTTAGCCTACCAGCCATAACTTCAGGCCACATTTTACCTCCCAGGCTGCTTCATTCATTAAGCATTATTAATTCTTTATCAATAGGACTGCTAATAGCACAACAAAGTGATGGTGGGACGGGAAGCTTGGGAGAAAAGGCTGTGCAGGTTGGGCATGATGAGCACACTGCTAGCCATGCTTCCTTGATCCCTGAGGATGACTACAGCTGCAGCTCTAGCAGCAGGGCTAGCACAACTCCAGATATGGCAAGCTTACTGCCCAGTTCACTCTGAAAAGAGCAATAGGACTCAGAAAGGCCAAGCACTGGTATGCATCTCTATCAGAGACCAGTGTGCAGTTAGGACGCACTCTTAGATGACACTGGCTTGTTTTGAGGGCATGTCTGAAGGATGCAGTGCTGCGAGCAAGGTGAGATGAGCCCCAGTGCCATCAGATGACGGAGAGATGCTGTCACTCCTTCCTCTCTCAGATTTTGTGACTTTGAGGACTCTGCACCTTGAGTTTGGAGTGGGTACTTGCAGGACAGAAGGTGAATCTAACATGCATCTTCTGGCTATGTTTTTAATATAACGTAATGTACAGCTTTCATGTCTCTGGCACTTCTCAAAGTCACAAGATGAACCCTTTGAAGCATCCTATGTGACAGGTTAATTTTAATATGCAACAGTATTAATTTATAGTTAATAACTGCAACAGATTAAAAAAATTCCTTGGAAACTGACAGAGCAGCATCCACACTTGATAGAGCCCATGGACTAGATTTCAGTTACGAAGTGGGAACCTCTTTGTTATTTAGTAATCAATAATTGCTCCTTTACAACATGTATTTCAGAAATGCCCAGGTATAATTACCAAAATTACAGCCCACATACCCCTTCTGCCTATATAGAATCCATACCTGCATTACCTAAATACTGTTTTCACATGTGTAAAATCTGTAAGGCATCACACACCCACTTGAAAAATTGACTTTGTAGTTTATGTTAGGCTAGGGACAGTACAATGTCAATAGTGTCAACAGGGGACACAGCACTGGTGACTTCCTCAAAAAAAAAAAAAATATATTGGGCAAGTATGGCTTATGGACACAAAGGTCAAAGCAATATCAAACATTTGGAAATAAGAGCTCTCAGTGACAGCAAAAAGTACCACTTAAAAGCAGAAGAATCACAGCTTTCAAATGCTTTCTGATACACTCTTTTAATCTCTCATTAGCTTATGGCTCTTAGATCGTGTAATCAGAGGCAGGCCAGCACTGCCACAGGGATTGCTGTGTAATCAGAATCCCCAGCATAGGGAGGAAAGGGGCACACAGAAGTGGCTGAGGCTGAAGGTACTGGCCGACCACTGCTGCATTCCCCTTGGCAGCCAGCTCCGTTCTGCCGCAAGGAGGCAGAAACCCTCCTGTGCTTTCTTAAAGCACAGTTGGCTGCATCACCCTTCAACCTCCACTATCTTTGGCTCTCCAGTATGATGGGTCATGTCTAAAGATCTTGGCATGCAACTCACTATATCTAGAAGGCTGTGAGCTTCTTGTACGGAGCTATTATCACTGCAGACCAGCGGGCTGTGCTGCCCTGTGGCAGCTGCATTTGCTGCAGACCCTGACCTCTTTATTGTAAAGGTGGCAGTGTTTAAAAGTTCAGATTAAGTCATTATTGTCTGACACTTCTATCTTGTTTTTCAAGTCATAGCAGTCAATGGGATAATTAGTGAGCTTAGCCAGGTGTCTCCAAATCGCCTGAGTTAAGGATGAATTTACTGGAAGCTGACCTCAAGGTGGCTTTTCATTTCACACATGAGCAATTTATTGATGATCTGCAATCCTCAAACCAACATTTTTCCACTGATGGAGATAGCTTAAATCACCTCATGTATACCTGGCCTTTCAGTTTTACCATAATGCTACAAAAGATCACATATAAAGGTGCACAGTAAATTGTAGTATAGACAGACAGGAACAAGGGAGGTGGCATTGCACTCCTCAGTCATGTTGGTAATCACATACCCATTCAGCCACAGTCTGTGATTCTTATCCATGCCTACTAGCAGCCACTTCAATGAGCAGTCCCTTTGAAACTAAGATGACCATTTCTTGACTGAAGTAATATTTATTACCATGCTGAAGCAGAAGAATGTGACACTCAGAGGTTCTTATGACCTAAATTGCCTTATATATATATTCAAATGATAAAGAAGTAATAATACAAGAACAACCCCCCCCAAAAAAAAAATCCTTAATATAAAATTAGAGATTTATATTCTCTCTCAAACCTCCCACTGCTTACTGAGAATCTGAGAAACACATAAACAAAGTACAAAAGTAATTACTTCTTTAAACTGCAGCCAAGACACCCAAATGAAGAGCTGTTGTAAATTCAAAAGCTATTTTTCCTGAGTGGTAGGTGATTGCTGGAGTTGGGAGTTCACGAGCCTAGCACTGTCAAGAAAGAAAAGCCATACAGTTCATTTAAACAGAGAATTTTTGTTGACAGGTAAAAGAAGCAGCACTTAAAAAAAGAATTGATCCATTCCATCATCTCATCTCCATTTCTAATAGCACTGTGGTTTGTCAGGAAAAGTATTAATTATTTATAACAACATATTGTTGTTATTCAAGAAACCGTTATTCAAGAAAGTTTTGCTTTTACTGTTTCACTGCTGTGCAGCCAGGCTTCTCTGTAGCCTACACTAACAGAACACGTTTACTCCTGGTTCTGGTACAGAATATAATAATTTGGTTATTCACAAGGGAACCACAAAGCCAGTTATCAAACACCGAAAACTGTACTGTGTGAGCCTAACAAAACAAACCCAAAAGCCAATTGTTCAACAGAGGTGTTTTAGGAAAAGGGAAAGCAAATAACACTTGGAATGAGAGACTTTTCCACACACTATTAATTGAAGAGTTGTTTCTTATCTTCAGTCATAACACAGAAATATGAAAACACTAAAAAATGCAAAACTAGTGAAAGGATGGACTCAAATTCTTGCATACTCCTTCTTTCAGAAAAGGCATGCATTTTATTGCAGAATCCACCTGCCTTACACAACATCTTGTCTTTCAACAGGCATACGGCACCACTGTCTGCACCATGCCAGCATCCCTGTGCAAGTGAGCCTGGTGAAGGCAACAGAGTCAGGGGGCACCCTGTGGCCAGGAAAAGTTGGTCCTGGACACTGTTCAGCTGTCAGATAGATACCTCACACGGGTCCTTGGCAACCACCATCTCCCACAGTGATTACCAGGAATGGTTTTGGAGCTAAGAGTTGGCCACAGACCCGATCCAATGGGGTGTGTGACACAGCTACCCTGGCTGCAGCAATGCTCTCATGTAACCACCACACCACAGGTCCCCAGGTACTCTGTGTGCTGCATCACATGCTGCTGGCACTGTCCCTGTTCTGTGACACACAGAGACGTACAGCCAATGTTTGCCAGCAGACACAGAAAATCACACCGCTCCCCAACATAGGCACATGCTTGCTACAGGCTGGTATCTCCCTGGCTGTTTCCACCGTCACTGTGAAACTCCTCTGCCAGGCTCGATAGCCTCCAGGTCTACATTCTCACACATACCTGGTTTCCTCATAGCTCTGATTTAGCCCTTATCTGTTCTCAGTCAAGAGGCACAACTGCTCAGATAATGACAGTCATTTCCAGCACCAGATGCTATGTAAGATGCCTCATTCTTGTGATTTAGACTAAGTAGTTCTGAGGCTTTGGAAAACGCACGGATTTTTGTTCTCAAAATCACTTCAGTATCAGATGTAAATTACATTATATCTAACAGACTCACTTAGCTCATGCTAAATGGCTACTTCTGCATTGCACAGCCTCCAATGTCTCCAAGTATTGTGCTATTCATCAAGTCTGGGATTTTTTTCCAGACAGAGGGAGAATCACAATTACCCTCATCAATGTAAATTGAGAAACACTGTCATCCAATACCTTTGGCTCTGGAAAGCGAAGGCTTTGCAGAAGCCTGTGTAAACGTTATGCCACAGGTTTGTAAAGCTTTTTTTATCCCCACACAGGTTCAAGTAAACATATTTGCAAAAGAAATTCGTGGGGCAGTTTGTTGTACGCTGCCCCTTATATTACATTCTCCAAAATACAGTTTAATTCTGTGGGCCTTTTTACTGGTTTGATATCCCTATGTCTCCAAGCTCAGAATTTAAAATAGGCTTAAATAAATCTGCTGTGTTTTTTCAGTATGCTGGGGATGAAGCTGTAAGAGCAGAAGTTTATGAAAAGTGTATCACAAATCCAAAACAGAGAATGACTTTCCACTCCTGGCACAATCTCAGCCAAGAGCTGCATCTGTTACCATGGCACTTCAGCAGGGCTGTAGATTAACAGCCTGCATAACTAAGACAAATAAACTCATTGCATTGCATTTCAGATGCTGTTATCAACTGAGC